AAGCTTCACAGACAAGGCGGCAGCGGCAGCCAAAAGCGAAATCATGAAGGGAGACAAGCTTGGGAGACAAGGCGGCAGCGGCAGTGGCAGCCAATTTCCGCAATCAGGAACCCATCCATTGAGAAGTAAGAACCCCTATAGCTTCGCTATCTGGGGAACAAGTAGAAATAAATTAGAAACACTGAGTCTCTCTTGTAGAGCTATTGGTTCAAGCGTTCTACCTTGCTGGCACAACTTTCATAAGAATCCAATTTCTCAACTTAAACGGCGGGTTTGATTGTTCAGCCCTGCGCCACCGCCTGAAGAACACTGGGAGTTCATGATTTGATCCCGGCTATAACCACCCCAATGATGCATCATTCGGTTGGCAGCAATGCCGGCCAGCAAGCCGGCACCTCCAGCCAAAGCGATCTTCATGCCACTGCCGCTGCTACCTTGATAAGCATTTGCTCCAGAATAGCCATATGGTGTGGTCATTGGCATGTGGCCGCCGTAGTTCTGATAAGCATAGTTCTGGTTCACGTAGCCATATTGCCCAAAGTTTGGATGAGCGGGGTTGCTGAAACCCTGGCTAGTAAAGGTGCTCCGGCGGCGAGAGGAGGAGAACGAGGGACTCCTTCTCCGAAAGGCATCGGTGATGACCGGTGTCATGCGTCTGCGAGACTCATCCACCGTGCTCCGCCTCCTGTCCGAGAGGGTGGCGGCACGTCGCCTGGGTGAGGACGTGACACTGGTGCGTCTCCTGGAATCCGTGTAGGATCGCCTCCTGGATGAAGAAGATGAGGACCAAGATGAGCGCCGACGGCTCGAGAGCCTTCGAGGTTTCGACAAGAATTCCTGGCTTTCCACGGTGCCCTTGGCCATTGATCCCTTGCTTTTTCTTGTGGGCATGGTCCCATTGGCAAGTCTTCTGCCATATTGACCTGGGCTCACAGGCTGCAGGTTTATTCCTGCTGACTGGTCAGCAATCGTTCGACCAGCCGATCCACGAGCCATAAAACTAATCGTCATCGCATTGTTGGTCGTGCGGAAAATCGTGAAGACATGGGGCGCATTGTCTGCGCCTGCCGGCTTCTGGATCACAAACTCGGCAAATCCTAAGGCAGGAGAAACCGATTGCCTAAAAACGGGTGCAAATTGACAGGTCGATTGAAATGACCTTGCCCCCTAGTTCTCACAAGCAAGGCTGTATATAAACTGTACACATACCAATTCATGCAAGTTCCACGATGAGCTTGGCCAAGTATATATAGTCCTTCCTAGCCGGTCCTAGCCCGTACTCTTCGTGTAGCATGATTGCTCCTTTGCAGCTGAGATTCCTGGACCTCCTGGACACAGAATTGCAGGCAGGTCAACATAGTGCCACACTCCAGAGAAGCCAGGGCCGCTTTGGGATGAGGAAAATGCAAAAAAACCTTGAGGGACAACGTTCAATGCAGGTTCCCATTCCTCTAACCTCCCCCTCTCTCTTCAATCTCTTCAAGAGCAATTGAGCACTTGCAAGATTTGCAAACACAATTCTGACATTCTTACTTTACTTGACAAGCAGAAACCAAAAGGAAATTCAAAACCTTCCAAGCAAAACAGTGCGGGGGGAGCGGCCAGCAAAAAGGGTAGCCAAGAACAGGACCATGGCGAGCAAATGTGAAAACGTGCACTGCTTCAAGTGACAGGACTTTGAGGCTCAAACATGCGCGACCTTTGCACCTTCTTCTCTTCTTCTCAAGCTGGTATGAGAGTTTTTATCGTACACTGCTTGCGGCTTCAAGGACCAGCCACATGGCTTGGGCCTGAATTGCAGCCACACACCTACAGTGAGGCTCACATCGGAGTCTGTCATGGTTGAATGATTGGTGTGGCACTGGAGTCGCAGTTGCCTTTTAAACTGCCGGCACTTCGGCCAGCACCCTGATTCGGCTTTGGACATCAAGCTGGTCAGCTTAATTTATCAAGCATCCTTAGCCGCCTTAGCCAGGTGCCCCCACTGCAGGCCTTCACTCCAAAGCTCCCATCAAATCAGAAATCAACTTTAGAGCTACATGGAGGGCAGGTAGAATCTCTTCTTGTAAGAAATCGTGAATCAAAGAGTAGGCTCACTGATCAAAAAGTTTGCACAAATGGATTGACTCTCACGGTCACCAATCATATCCACGTTCACCTCCAATGAGGATCGTTGATGACCTCCCGGGTGCCATCGAGACATGTAGAAACTTCATAAGTCTTAGTCTTAGCATGTCTTGGCTAGTACTGGCTGCAATGGATCTGCCATGGCCTGTCCCTGCACAACCTCTCCATGATGACCATGACAATGGCCAGCATCCTGTTTTTCGAGGTAGGACTCTCTTTGAGCGGCAAAATGTCACAAAGCAAGAAAGTTCAACTCCGCTTGATGGCCAAGCGGTCCGCTCATTCAATTCAGAAGGGTTCAATATGCTTACAACTTCTTGCCAAACGAAACGCATCATGTAATGTGGACTTCTTCGAATAGACTAGACTTCATCTCCCATCCTGACCGTGCCAGTAGGGGTTGGGAGCACCAGGCATCCCTGGCGCGCCAGGAAGTGGACCGTCCTCAATTCCGTTGTGATCAGACATCCATAGACATCCCCTTCGATGCTATCCACTGTTATCGTATTTCTTTTCGTGTCCTGTTTATTTCTCCATTCATGCTCAAGTGCAGCTTTGTAACATAAACGCCCATGGGGTGAGGGTGCTCGATGCCCTCGCGGCATCGATCGAGGAAGTAGCAGCAGGTGAGGCAGGAACATAAGAGCAACAAGTTGGAAAGAACCTCAAAACGCAATCAGAACGTTTTCGGTGCCTCAATGAACGGGAAAAAACACTGAAGACGTTTCTCGGGGTGGATGTATGATTGCTCCCCGTACGAAGACGTGCGAGGCACCATCAGCACGGCATCCGCACTTGTTGTGCTTGGCACTCAGTGTATATGTAATAATATGTAATAATGTAACATGACGAATAACGGTCCTTCCTTCATCACATTCTGCACTGGTCGACATAACCCGAAACAGCGCTTTTTGAACTATTCGTCCAAGTCGCTGAAGACCCTGTGCTGTAGCCGGAGCTGCCATAGCTGCCTGGACCATAGCCGTAGCCATGGCTATTGCCAAGCATGTCAGGACTTCGTCCAGGAAGCGCGGAAAGTGTGAAGAAGACCTGCTTCATTGGAGGCGCTTTCCACGCCTAGGATGATCTGTGGGAAGAAAACATACGAACACGACATTTGGAGCAGTCAACCACTCAATCTGAGGCCTGAGGTGTCTCCTCGCCCTCACACCCTTGCGTGCATAAGTTGAGGTGATGTTTGCGCAAGTTGATGTGTGCAACTTTGCCACACATTGCTACACTCTTTGCAAAGCCACACTCAGGCACCCCGCTCTCCGATCCAAATCCAAGCTGCAGCTTGCTGAGCAGCATCTTGAGGCGGGCATATGGTAGATGGGTCAAAGTCTGTTCCAGAGATATGGGTCACATTGATTACCAAAGGCCATGAGACTTGTGATGGGATAAAACCTGTGGACATGAGATCATCCCGAGCAGCATCAAAGTTGGGCGAGACCATCACGTTGCATCTCTGGGCCCCGTAGCTCGAAACACAGGAACGGCAGGCCCCGCTCCAAGTTCCTGGCAGGGTCGGAAGAGGTGAAGCTGCCACAGGAGGCATTTGAGGCAAATACAAAGAGGATATACCAAAGGGACTACCAAAGGCCTTAAGAGTCGGGAACGAAACCTACCGCCTACACATCATTCACAGTTCTTTAAACTTTAAACCCAGTAAATCCCAGTAATAGTATCTGTCTTTGAGCTGTCGTACACGTTTTGCTTCACTCATGAGAACAGTGTTTTTGGATCTTTTGGGGAGATGTGTGTGTTGAAAGAGGTTGCCGTTGCAGCACGTTCTACGAGGACGAGTAAAAATCCCAAAATGGCTCAAAAAGTTGTCCCGTCCAGATGTGCATTGCATATTGTACATATCGTCTTGGCTGTAGCCATACCAGTGGTGGTGGTGATGTAAGAGGTGGCTGCCACCATAGCCAGCCAGCAGTCCAGCTCCGGCGGCTAGTGCAATGGGAAGACCGCTACTGCTTGAGTAGGCACTGGCTCCTGAATAGCCATATGGAGTGGCCATCGGCATGTGGCCTCCAAACATCTGAGATGCATAGCTAGAGCTGGGATAGCCATAAGGACCCAGGTAGGAAGTGTACGGATTGTGGTACGAACCTCCATATCCTGCCTGTGAGTATGAACGGCGTCGATGAAAACTTGAACTGGTGCCATATGGACTTGTCACTGACGCATAGAGGCTAGGGGCAGGCGAATAAGAGCCTCTCCGACGAGAAGCACCTGCAGCGCCAGCTGTCGCACCAGCTACAGCCCCTGCTGTACCATAACCTGCTGCTGCTGCTGCGGCTCGTCTTCTCCGAGGAGTAAACCATGACATGGGATTGATGTTCACTGGCTTGATCCCAGTCCCTCGTCTTCTCACACTGCTCGCTGTGCGCCGTCTCATTGAAAAAAGCTGTCGGCTCTGGCAGTCCTCATCGCAGAACTCTGTGGAGTGATCCGCGGGGCCATCCGTTGAGCGGTTGGCGGAGTCAGCGTTTGGCACAGCGCTTGGCACCTCTTCCGCCAATCGACGCGCACGGCGTGCATGGCCTTGCAAAGACACACCCTGCCTTTGATCAGCAATGATGCCTCTGGCATCTCTAGCAATGAAATTTAGCTGCACTGGATTCTTTGCAGTGCGGAAAATGGTCAGAATGTGTGGTTCATACTCCGCCGTCGTTGGCTTTGACATTGTTATGGTGGCATAGCCTGCAAACAAATCCAAGCTGCCTTCCGAGATTTCATGCGACCATGAAACTCATGTTGCACCCGAGCCTGGACCACCTGGGCAAATCACAGAGAGAACATCCACCAAGTGCCAGACTCCAAAGCCTGGACTTTGTGCCCAGGAGGTGCCTCGAGAAAAGTCCGTGGCTAGTGGCTGATGCATCAGTTTTCGCATGCAATGATATGCTGATATGCTTGAAGTATTTGGAAGTTATCTTCTTCCCTAAATGCTGAGGGCAGTGCCTAGAAAGCAAAGCCACCAAAGTTGAGCCATGGAGCTGAGCATCCCCACTTGAGCTGCAGCTGACGATCCGACATTTTCCACGCAGAGTTCAGAAATTCAATAGGTGTCATGCCGACTTACGGACTTCGGGAATTTCATTGACCCTAAGTAAACCCAGGGACGGTGACGTTGCACATCCTATTTTTTGATTTGTCCATATAGCTTGTTTCAAAGGAGGTTGGATCCGCAATCTGAGAATTCGATTTAGATCATTTTAGCCATGGCACAGCGATGGTAGAATTCATCACTGAAGTCTGAAGTCTATAAACTTGTGTGACCTGGACAAACCCAGCCACACCAAATTGACTTGTCAACCTTCTCGATCTACACAAAATCGATCAAATGGTTGTCCCTAGCAGACATAGGCCGGCCAAGCCCGGCACACCAGCGAGAACCAAAGGCCAAGCTCTACAAAGTCCTTGGAGCCCCGCCCCAAGGCTACACTATGCCCATCTTGCACTGTACAATTTGGGCATCAAAAGGCATCCACGCAAGGTCGTTCACACCCTCCGGTTGATCAGGGGCAGCGGCTGTCCATATTGGATGGCTTGCTGGCAGGCTTGTTCAAGTCTCCTAGGCAATCACAGTATTCAATGTCAAGTAGGGTGATCGGAGGGAAACCCGGAAAATATGGCCATGACTTCAGGAACCGGAATTTCCACTTCTCCTAAAGTCGAAAGCCGGGGATTTGGAACAACACTGGTGACGAACACCTCCCCTGACATTAGCTAGCTGTCCTCTGAACTGTGCCTTCCCACTCCCAGCCCCCCGCCCCATCAAATCAACGGCATTCGAAATCTTCAACATTGTTGAAAACGTCCAAGACCGCAGCCGGAAACGCTCTTTTCCCTTGAAACGTTTGAGCCTTGATGAAACATTTCAAAAGGTATCGGTACTGTATGGCATAACTGAATTTGAGCGGCTGGCAAAACTACATCTCCCAAAACGTATGTAGTAGATCGAGGTATATTTTTTGGTTGGCGCATCGCTTTTCCAACCGGTTTGGACATTTTCATAACCAAGGTATCGTTCTCCATATTACTTTCATCATGCACATCATGTGGATCGCATGCCTCAGCGGGACTGGACTGTTGGCGCTTTCTGCGCTTGCGACGCTTTGCAGTTGGGAGTAGCTAAGATTGTTCAGACTCATCGCCGCAAGTAAGAGACAAACAGAAAAGTGGATATGGATTGAATCTCAAAATGATCGGATCTGGGCTCCTGCGTTCCCGGGCATGATTTTGTAGCCTTTTGGGTATCGGTAGGGTATGGTTTAGGGGTATCGTCGTGTCTCCGATATTTTCAGACTGCAACCCTATATACACAAACGGGATAAACATGCCTTGGATATGAACAGCATGTCTAAATTCAGAGAGGGGTATCGTTTTTGGGACGGTGTATCGTTTTTCCAGCTCAAAATCGCTACTGCGGATTTCGTCTCAATATGGCGCGCAGCATTCCGCTGGTCACTCACAACCGCCTGACACCCTGCCTTATGCCTAGATATCTGACAACTGCCTAGATATCTGACCACCTGCGAAAAGCATTATATAATTCTTCGGCTGCAGAGGCCTGCTCAACTCGAAACCATCCACAAGTGAATTTCATTGACAGAAGTCATTCCATCAGCCATCAGGCTTTTTGGCCGATCTCTTCACTTCTTCTTACCCTTCGTCTTTCCGTGGCCGTTGCCATCATGAGGTCCACCTGCTCAGCTCCTTGCCTTCATGACCGCTCTTTGCCTTTCATTTCTGTCCTTTGTTTTCTTCTATCTCAACCTCCTATCTTCACTGCGTCACTTGATGGCCTTCTTCATCAAATTTAAAGGCGTCCCCCGTGAAGGGTGACTCTTCCAATGGGCAATTCTGTTCCTCATGCCTTGCCTTTACTTGGAAGACGCCCATCATCCAGATGTAGTTGATGATCCCATCGACCCTTTTGTCTGCACATTGAAGCACGTCGTGAATGTATCGATGCCACCTTGCATTGGCTCATCATTGGGATACAGTATTCCTTCTTGATTTCCCTGAATCCCTGAACGGTTTGATCTTGTCGAGGGCGCGGACGTAGATCTCAATGCATCTCCCTTCTGCAACATGCTCGAACCTGTAGTCATCATAGGCTCCAATGATAAAGCTTCAAACTGCTGGACCTTCCCATACTTCCGCGCTCTTTTGGATCCTCTCTCAAAACTTCAATTTTCGATGCTTCATCCTCATCTCTCCTCGGTTCTGGGTCACGAGATCCTCTTGCTCGCTCTCTTTCTGGCGGTCCAGGAGTCGGATCTTCCTTCTCTACTCTCTCCAACCTCACCATTCTGACGCGCGCATGAAGCCGTCCAACCTCACGCAATCAAGCTCTGGCCGGTTTCTTACTTGGCCTTCTTTGCGTCAAACTCCTTTCGTCCTCAAAGATCCATGAGGTATAGAAGCATACATGCTCGCTTCCCTGGATGAATCTTGGCTCCAAGCTTTGCTGGGTTTGTCAGCGCGTCGGTCGGCCTTCCTCAACTCAAGGTCTTTGTTTGCGCTGTGTCTGTTTGAGCCAAAGACGTCTTCCTGAAAGGCGCTTCATCCGTCCCACTCTTTGTGACTGGGCAATGGCAATTTTAAATGAGTTGTTGCCAAAAGCCACAAGTTTCACCCTCAAGTAGCCCGTCTGACGCACCTGAACCTGATGCAACATTCTCTGGCACTGTGCTTGGCGCTGTAATGTGCTTTTGCGTCCTTGAGCGCGAGCGCGCCAAATTTCTACCAAGGACCAAGGAAAATGCACCCACGCAGCGTAAAGTGTTCACTTCTCTTGCTGCCCGACCAATCCGAATCGCACGCCACTTCAAGCAGCCACCTCATCCTCCTGGTCCTGAAACACTGGCGCCCAAATCAACCCCCGCGCTCGGCCCCTTGAGCTTGACGGACTCCGACTCCTCATCACCAAACGAACGTCCGGCGTCAAGGCTTCTGTTGCAGCCTGAAGATGTCCTGCAAGCGCTTTCGCCATTGAATATCTAGTTTGCCGCCCGCTGCTTCTGTAGACGCTGATTCTTTCATCTCCTTCATCGACCTTCGATGTACTTGTTGTGGATGGTAACCTCAGTCTGGCTGGGTTTCATTGCGGTCATATTTACAAAAGTTCAGTGAACAACCCTCTTCAACCGAGACTTTGTAAAGCTTGAGGTGACTGACTGGCTGCGCTAACGCCCTACCTTCTTCTGCCAAAATCATGTCATCTACGTGCGCCAACAAGGTCCCTCTCCAAAGCGTTTGGCGCGGACATGGTTCCAAACTTTTCAACGTCCACTAGAACCATTGCGCTGCCCCCCGTCGTTGACCAGGAAGAACTCGAAGGTCACGAACTGCTTCTCAATGATCTCTTTCGCCGAAGACAAACTAGTCCTCCTCATCATCATCATCATCATCATCACTCTAAAGTGAAATCATGCGCCTCACTCACCATCCTGATTGCGGCTTCCTGCTCGCCTCCCTCCTCAACATCCAAGAGCACAGTCTCAACCCTCCTCACTGTACTTATTCTCGTCTGGGCGGCGTTCTTTCCATCTGCTGGAGCCGGGTTGCCAACGCCCTTCCAGCGGCGCTTGCACCGTCTGACTGGCTCCTGAGTTTCCCCTGAAAGACTGAATCTGAAACAGGTTGAAAGTTATCCAATGAATGGGTCCGGCTGAGCCACCTGACGTCGCACTAGTGGTGTCAGCCACTTGAGGCCAGGTGCGCGCAGCGCACTCCCTGCTCCAGGGGCTACGTCCTCCACAAAGTTTGCAGGCTGGCCCATTCCCTTTTCTTTTCCTTTGCCATCTTGAAAGCCCCCTAAGGACCTTTGTCCGCTTTGCAACATTTACCGCTTCCTTTGCCCTTTTCATAAGCAAAGTTGCCGTTGCTGCCATAGCCTTTGCCTTTGCCGTTGCCTTGGCCATCTTTTCCTTTACTCTTGCCCTTTGCTTTGCCTTTGTCCTTGCCTGTCACTCGATGATCGGCCCATTGGAACCACATCGTCTGTCGCCTCGTCCATGTCGATCTTGATCTCGTTTGCCAATGCCGAATTCTGCGTAAGCTGCTTGTGAAGTCTATGATGCAGTTGTTCGCTCACATGACAGCAGCTCCAGCATAAGTTGCGCCACCGTCGCACATGCCATGCTATCGCCGCGCGCGCCGTCGAAAGCTTCTGAGGCATCACTCAAGGAAACCGGGTGTTTTGCGGAACCTTCTCACCTAACACTGCATGGCATTCCTCGGCCCACAGCTGCTCAAGGAGTCAAAAGCCTTTGTCCCTACTGAATGCAGGATGTGCCAGGTATGGTTGAAGGCGTGGCTGCTGATCTCGTCTTTGGCATCAATTGTCGTGACAACTGCCTCCATGCTTCCAACAACCGCCTGTTTCGAAGCACACCGATGGCAGCCAAGATGTTATACAGGTGCTGTGATCTACTTGAGAGGAGGGAGACACGAAAGGTAGGACAGCGGGAAGAGAAGAGAACGCGAGAGGCAGGAACAAAAATGCAATGTTCGACATGGTGATTTATCCCCTCGGAGGCGACCTTTCGTAAATATATGTTCATATGCACTCTAAATGTTCAAACATATGCTCTCGAAATGTTCAAAAAGATTCTTAGGAAAACTAACTTGCCCCATGGCTCAGATCATCGGTGAGCATTGAATCGGAACATCATAGGATTTGAACTATCCTGAAACCATAAAGGGCTCAGAATTGACGTGCTTCACAAAACAAACTCTAGGTATGTATCCCCTCGGGGAACACCTTTCGTGATTTGAATTTCATATTCACTCTTTCTGAATGTTCAAGAGGGTTTCAACTATCCTGAAATCATGAGAGGCTCACGAAGACGTTCTCCAGGAGAGAATTGATTTTAGAGGGGGGGAGGGGGGGGGGGTCTGAATTGAGCGATCAATTATTAGACCCGGACGTCCCAACACTTGCTTCGCAAGACAAACTCAAGGTATCCCCTAAAGGGCTACCTTTCGTGATCATGACGTTCCTCGGTCATCTCGACAAAATCCGTCGGAGCTGCAGACTCCTCAGCCTCTTCAACGTCAGCCATGACCGGAATGTCAACGGTCAATCCTGCCACAGCGTGGTCCCCTTCTTGATTTGCAGGTGCGAAAACATCTGGCAGACCTTATATACTTGTACTCCCCAATCCGGCCCCTTTTCCTTTCCCGCGCTCTTCTTTCATGAATCTCAAAGCCTCTGTTACTGCATCTGCTGATTGCTAGTTTGGAGCTAGGAACCAAAACTTGGAGCGCTTCTGCGGTTATCTTGTCTTGTCTTCAACTTTTCTTCCTCCTTCTTCTCTTCTCTCTTTCTCCACGGGGTATATTTCAAGGGCCCTGGGGTGGCTCCGCTACCATGAAAACTTCCAAGAGAGCAGCGGGAAAGGCTCTTCTCTCTTGAAATGCTTGAGCCTTGATAAGGCAGTTTGAAAGGTATCCACTGAATGAGCTACTGCCTGACAATATCTCACATCAATCTTCCTATACATATATGGTAACAAAGTTAAATACACATAATTCTATCATATTCTATCACTACGTAAATAGTTTTTGGATGTAGTTACATAACTATATATATATCTGTTAATTATAATCTAGGAGCAAAAAGCCTAGATTACATTATCTGATGCCAAAGATCTCCGCTGCTTCCACCACCTGTCCAAGCATGGAGGGGTTGGCCTTGGCCGTAATTGCCCCGATCACTTGCCCTGCGGGCCCTTCAGCGGCAAATCTGGGATCTTGATGCCATCCAGGATTTTGCTGTTCATATGCCACCGCCCAGGCTAGACACTCACCCCAGGGCCCTGCAATCATGCCGTTGCTGATAATGACATCATGATGTTGGCACAGGTTCGTCCAACTGGAACCATTGGGGGCGGCAGTGTCCATGAACCCACCAGAAGCATATCTGCCAGTTCCGCCAGTCACTGGGCTGCCTTGAATAACCACGCCCTGTGTTGGCTGCGCAGCACCTCACACACATGTTTGAGTGCCAGCACTGATTCGATACTTGGTCCTACAGCCTATCAAAATCTCGTGCAAAACAAAAATCATCAAATCTGTCAATCTCAGTCAATCTCCCCACCTTGCCAGTAGGGATTGGGCTGTGCCATTTGTGTTCCATAGATGGGGTGTCCCACCGGAGCTGCAGGGGCTGCTGACGCGGCGTAGCCACCATAGCCGTAGCCAGGTGGGGCTCCATGAGGGACATCCTCGGACCAGTCCGACTCAGAAGAAGAACCATAGCCACCATAGCCTGTCGAAGATCAGTTCCGAGGCTTATGAGATGGGATTGGTTGCACAGTTGCACCGAATGGGATTGGATGCACGTCATGAAGCCGAGTCCTCTTTGCACAACTTTTCCTACAAATGGAAGGACAAGCTATGCTTAGACCTCTATAATAGTTCGTCTCAACGATGCTAATGCATCTATATACACGGGCCGAGCCCTGTCCTGGGGACCCACTTCTCCGCATCACAACGAAGCAAATGCCAAAACAACAGCACCCACCAATAACCGCCAGAATCGCCTAAGCGCTGAAAAGTGTGAACCTTCGAAGATGGCGACTCTTGTTACTAGTAGTGATGCCAGGAGCCCCTAGTAGCCTCTTGTTGCTGGGTTTCGGAAGGCTGGCAAGAAAGCACAAATTGCATACAGGAAACCCAACTCAGCCACGATAACATTGATGACCCACTGCTTGCCTTAGTGGTCACATCTGTCACGCAACTCACTGTACTTCCACCTTGAGCGGTCAGCAAGAATCATGTCAGGTTGCTGTAGCCTGTGGCCCGGAGGCAAGTTCTTGCAGCGTGGTCAGTGTGATAAAAAGCTGTTTTTGCGCTGAAGTCCATTGTGGGTCAGAGGCATTTGGACACACCACACTTGGAGCAAAGTCAACCCCTATGATCTTGGTGATGTTCACCTGGATAGGCCATGACACTTGAGAAGGGACAAAGCCAGTGTCCAGAAGGTCGTCACGAGTGGCATCAATCTTTGGGGAAATTTCTATATTGCAGTTCCTGGCTCCGTGCAATGTCACGCATGTGCTGCACAGACCTTGCCAGGAGCCTGACGTACAAGGCATGTTGAGCATCTCTGCACGACTGTAGCCTGTCCAACTGTGGAGCAACTGCGATCCCAAATAACCTGCTAGAAGACCTCCTCCTGCAGCCATTGCTATCTTTGCACCACTCCCACTTGATCCAGAGTAAGCATTCGCACCGGTGTAACCATAGGGCGTGCCGGTTGGAATTCTTCCTCCAAAGTTGCTTGCAGCTGCACCTGGAGTTTGGTATCCATAGTTCCCAGCTCCAGGGTTTGAAGGATTGTTGTGGACCTTGTTGTCGTAGCCAAACGTTCGTCGGCGCGACCCAGATGCACTTCCAGTGCTTGCCGTGCTCGGAGTGCCCGTCCGACGGCGTGGCGAGGTGTAAGGCGGGGAAGGTGGTGGAGAAGGCGTCCGGCGACGTGGAGAGCTGTAGCTGCTACCACCGCTATAACCACCACCAAAGCGCCTCCTTGCACTCAGCTGACGTCCTGAGAGCGGTAGATCCGACTCGAGTCGTCGTGAGGCCTGTTGCAAGTTCACTGCGGCCTGTGCGACCGCTTTGCCGGCGGAATCTGTCGCAGTGAAGTCGAGGCTCACGGATGAATTGGTGGTGCGGAAAATTGTGAAGATGTGGGGGCGGTTGAGTTCTGCAGCTGGTTGGGAAATGTTGATGATGGCATATCCTGGCACACGAGATCAGAAGACACATGAAGACATGGTGACAAAACCGGATCTTACGGGCCTGTCCTGGAGCATCAGGGCACACCACCGACTGCACATTTATCAAATGCCACACCCCGGAGAAGTTGGACTGTGCAGCGCCAGCTGCGAAGCAAAAAGCAAATAGGGTAAAGGGGAGCCTAAGTGCCACTGAGTGCGCATGAAACCTCTTGACCAACCAAGCTCGGCATGTTTTTTAGTCCTCCTCTCTGACTATGCTAAGCGGCATGGCCAAGCCTGCCATGGACGACTCAACTGCCGAACAGGTTGTCGCTAGTTGAAGTGACTTCAATGTGACTTCCATGAGTTGGACTAGCAGATGTGACTTTCTCCCGTGCAACTCTCGTGCATTGGATCTGAGTGACTTGCGGTCTGTGGCTAACATCATCCCAGATCTCACGTGCTGCGGACACATTTGAATAGTATAGAATAGTATAGTGGTTTGTAGGATTATAGAGCATTTAGGGCCTAATAAGGATATATTGACCTGATACTGATGTATATACTGATGTAGGCTTTGACCACCCATGATGTGAGAATATGTTTGACGGTCCCATGCATACTCTCCTGTACATGTGATGCATGCGGCATGCTGCTGCAGAAGCCCTTGCCAGCTTGTTTTCGATTTTCACGCGAGTCCCAGAAGATACAAGAAATACAGTCGAGTCGAGCGCAAAGCAGTCGCTAGCTACAGAAGTGAAACGAACACAAGCGCCATCGCTTGTGCAGAGAATTGACTAGTAGAATTCAATCGAATGCTATGCCATTCAATGCCATTCTGCAGCTGGCTAAAACTCAAAGGCGCGAATTCCCCACAGGAAAGTGCTGCGTCAGCCTGAACCGACGGTGCAATCCCTGGAAGACTGTCGCCATCCCGGCCTCCCGTGCCTCGTGTCCAAAATATGTATATAGAGATCTGCAAAGTGCTGCTTAGTGTCTGTCACTGAGTACATGGACATGGAATGTGAGGAGTCTAAAGCCGGACTTTAGGATACCTTATGACCTTGGGAAAGATTTAGGTCTTTGTGCCTGCATGTTACTTACAGTATGTAGTCAGTGGCCGGTCTTGGTGCGTCAAAAAAGGCCCCCGCGTCTCGTGGCAGGAAAGCTTTGACATCGCAAAGCCTGCCCAACGGGAGTCCCGGCAGAAGATTAAGTGAAGAGCCTTTGAAGCAAAAGGATTCGCAAAGGTCTCTACACTGAACTGCCCCCTCAGAGGTTTGCGCTCTTCTCCTCAGTCGACCGCGCGAGGAAGGAGTCAACATCATCAATGTCATATGCAAGGCCCACTTGTTTTGAATAGATGCTGTAGCTGCAAAGAAGGTTCGTCTCCAACAGCACTGCTCCATCTGGAGTCAGCCCAATGTCTGTCCCGAGGAAGGGCACTTGAGGAAATTGGTCATGAACCCAATTGGCTGTGAAGATTGCCTCTGCAACCTGTGGCAACACTAGCTTGGTTCCACTTCCGCTGATTGTAGCCGTGTGATTCTCGAGGTTCACTGGCCAGCACTCATTGCCCTTGCAATTGCTAATGCTGCCCGAGCGAGCCACCAAGAAAGCTGCATGAGTAGTGGGGCGATTGCTGATCCAACGACCAGTCCACACACGCAGGGTGCAAAGAGGGGCCCTCTCACCAACGACATTCTCCACGATTGGGTGATTCTTCAGCACCTCCTCAAAGACCATGTGCTGTGCGCGAGCTGGTGGCAAGTTGGATGCAGAGTTGGAGGTCATAACGCAACAATCCTCGCCGAATGCGGCAAAGCGAGGCTTCACAAAGACCATGCTCTCATCCCGACTGGAAGGTGTGATGCGCCTCACGAACATGACAGACTTGATGTTCTGCTGCCTGCTCTTCTCCTCAAGAAAGTACTGTTGCTTGGTCTTGTCCGCAATTGTGAGATACAATGAGCGGTTGCGAGGCCGCAGGTACACCAAGTCAAGGAAAACATGGTGGTCATGCCGCAAAGCAAAAAGGGCCAAGTACGGCATCAGCAAATGTAGAAGCATGGGAGCATACGTTCGGAGAAGATGATCCAATGAAAGTCCGATCATCCCGGCCTGGCGCCTCACCATGTACTCCCAAGTGTGCTCAATGAGCTCATTGTCAGGGCCTATGGTGTAGTAGTCTGTAGTGGAGGCTCCACACTCACTCACAAACTGCCCGTAGAACTTGGCGACGTGAGGCCTCCGGTAGAACTGCCAGTACACCGCTGCGTTGGCAGCCAATACTGCCGTGGCAATCAGGATCAGGATGACCTGCCCTACGCGGAAGCTGTATGGATGTGTCTCAGTGGTAGGCCATGCGTCGTAGGCTGATGCAACTGCTACCACCAGCACCACCACAAGACAAGCGAGATTCATAACGGAGGTGCGCATCCTTCTGGTTCTTTCCATCAACACGCGGGCTGCTTTCTGAGCAATCGGCTGCGGGACACTAAAGTGTTTGCATGACCCCGATGCGCAAACACGTCTCATGACAAAGACTCACCGAGCAACTGCTTTGCGGACAGAATGAAGCAGAAGCTTCACAAAACTTTTTCGACTCTTCACCTTGTCCACTACGGGCCGCGCTAACTACCTCCCTTTCACCTTCGCCGGAAGCCGCCCACGAAGTGAGACTAACAAATCGATCGCCGCTCAGGCGGCTCAGACGAAGCCGCACCATTTTCTGCACTGACGTGCGCATGGCCATGTCGGACTTGGGCTACCTGGCGACGGGTGCACCCAGGTGCACCAAAATCTACCCACGTTCGAGTGGCCTTCGACCGGATGGGAGATGCCTGCCAACCAGCTTACCTCAGTTCTATTTACTTTTAATTTTTGTTTCTACTAGCTTCTTGGTACTACTAGTAAGGCACCTGTTACTACTAGCGTGGCACTTGTTTCTACCTCGCAACATGGACGTGCAGGCAATCTGGCCATCACTTTCTGAGACCTCGGCTCATCCTCATCTGAAGCACTTGAGGGATCCTCACTGGGTTCTTCGGCCTGGCTCCGGGCTGATCTCAAAACATGCAATGATATTAGAGTCGGTCAATCTAGCGTCATATATAGAGTTCATCAGATTTCATAGGCTAATTTAATGTTTGAACGTGGTAAACCTTTGCTGTTCATACACAACCTTTCCCCCCCCAATTAATGCCCGCCGTCTTGGTGGGCGATGACTAGCTGGATATACTATATACATCTATGATTTATAATTGTTTTGATGTGCTCAATATCAAATAAGTGCCCCTTGTGCATCAAAGCTCCAGCGGGAAGGAGTTTTTTGACCAAACATGTCAGGTAGTACGCATACATCGCCCGCACCCGGATCATGAAAAGGGCAGCTCCTGACAAGTCCGAATCAGTTGACTTGGGTGCCCGTCGATTTGTTGACCCCGCAACTGCATTGACCAGAAAGCATAGAAGACCCTTGTGCCTTGAATGCCTCACGATCCACCTGACCAAAGGCATCTCTCTGCACATGTCTGCGGGTTGATTTGCAAGAGTGGCACCCACCGGGATATCACATCGGATGCCGATTCTGATTGCAGTCCAATCCGGTGCCTGAATGCCACGTGTGCATATCCCAAAGGACTTGCAGGACCGTCTTTTTCAGCCTCCAATGTCGAAGGCGCAAAACGATGCAAAGCACACAGAAGCTGTAGGACGAAGGCACCACAAGGACTAGTGATGTCATCTAAAAACATCATCATGCAGCACATCCACAGTATTTCTCACGGTGGCCAAACCTTCACGTCTTCTTGAGTCCGCGTGCTTGCGATGCGTTCATGTTTTCTTTCGACAAATGTCTCTCTGATTTCATTCTTCAGCCAGTTTCAATCCATAGAAAAGCCTCCCGCACAAACTCCTGGTGCACGAAGTGCTTCTGGAAACGGCCTCAGTTGCGGTTGAAACTCTGGCGCCGAGTCGCCGCGTGTGCTTGAATCATGTTAAGACCCAAGCCTTCCATCACGCAAGTATCTCCATGCGACAGCAAGATGTCACTGATGGTGCCTCCCATCATCTCCCATCCAAACATGGTGAGATGATGTGATATGGCAACTTGAGGTGAATGACCTCGAGTTGGAGTCCTTTGACCGCCACATCGAAGACCAGCCTGGCCACTTCGAATACAGAACGGGAAAGGCCAGGTCTTAGATGTGGTAGCCGTTTCTCAGGCTCCCTCTCCGGAATCAAACCCTCATTCTCCGTTGCTCGTCAGCATTGCCGGAAAGTCTTCTTGTGCACAGGTCGAAGCATTACTAAGCATTCCAAGGCTTCAAACACCAGTTCCCCTGAGAACAAGACTCGGAATTTTCTTTGCCCTCCAAGGGCAACACACACCACATGGATGTCCTCATGCAAGGGGAGCAAAGTGTCCAAGTCCAATCAACAATGGACGGACGCTGTATGCCCCTCCTGCGTCTGGCTCTTAAACAAAAAGTCATCATCGGAAAGCCATCCTGAAAAGTAATTCCAACGGTTCCAACAGCACACCAAATGACCTGAATGTGCACAAAAAGTTATGTGCATGCATGTATATAAGGGAGTGGCTGGCGTTTGTCGCCGAATCATCATACCAGTTCCTCGCAATTATTCAAAAATCAAAAAAGCATGGCATCCGATTATCAAGGCAAAGTCGTGATTCGAAGTGGCATACAGTGCCACTTCCCGAATCGGTGCAGGCAAGCTTCACTTCGACGCTGTTCGGGAGCTGGTCGTGGCTTAAGTTCAGGATGCTTAGCCACCTGGTCAGCACATAGCCAGGAAGCAAAAGGAGGACAAATATATAGATCTTGTCAGTGCTGATCCAACCAACGATCAGCAATGGCCCGGCCCGTACCTCTTCATGAGGTCACACCTGGCATCGAACGGTTTTGTAGCCAGTTAAAGTGCCAAGCTCACCAGGACCATCAAGCCATAGAACATCTAACGCACAACTGCGGTCGGCTTCTATTTCAGAAAGACATTTTGTCGTTGGCCACGCGCATGTCCACACCTTTCACTCCTTGCACCAGGTCAGCTCAACGTGCATTTTTGGCGCGTTGACTGCCGTGCGTTGGGTGTTCAGAGGTTTTCTCATCGCCGGTGTGAAAAGCCAAATGCCGGAAGGCAGCGCAAGGTGCCGACGCTTCTACGTCCTACGTGTTGCTTCACTCAATATGGCCCAGGCCGACCTGTATTCCAGACTAAGGAAGTCATCAATAATGTCCAAAAGTGAACGAAAGGGCTCAAAAGCTCAAAAGGACAATTGATGACAAAGATTCACAAAGCGTCTGAAGCCGCCACGGCCCTGCCTTTGCAACCACCTTTGCCACAACCCATGGGTCCACCCATTGGCCCGCCCATGGGTCCACCCATAGGGCCTCCCATGCCCATCTGGTTTTGGCCCATGCCCATCCCCATGGGGCCACCGCCCATGCCCATGCCCATCCCACATCCCATGCCGCCAGATTCGCTCCCAGCTGGCGCAGGCTCCAAATCCTTGGCCTGCAGCTTGCCGTTGCGGAGCACGGCCATGAAGGCGACATGGTCCCCTTCTTTGAAGTCACCCTTGTGCTTCTGGTGAAGGAAAACCTCGGGAAGGTTCATTGCGACTGCCAAGTGCCGTAGTGCAGGTCACTTGTGCCTTGCTTTGTTCAACAAAGTTCAACATGTTCAACAAGCTAGTTATGGCGGACTGATCTTAGCGGCAAATAGTTTCCATCCTTCACGTTAAGGAGACATCAGAGAGGTAAGGAGTAATCCAAGAAATTCCAATTTGATCAGGCCTAGACACATCGCCCTGATATCCCTGTGAGACCAGTGCATCGCACACAATGAAGCCAAAACCTTTGTCCTGCAAATGCGTCAGAAAACATTTTAGCATTATCATATCTATGCAATGTGCTGCAGTGGTCCTGGTTGAAGTTCTTGATTTTCCCGGCAAAGACTCCAAGCTCCTGCAAAGCACCCCGCATTATGATGCCACGGGCTGGCATGTGTATGCATACCCTAAACAGCGGGGGCTTGTTCAAGCCCAGTTCACGCTGGAATGTATGTATAGCTTGAGTCTTGATGAGTCTTGTGGGCGGTTCCACTTCCAATTGAGGAAACGTCCAAGTGGAGGAGGTCAAGCATTCACTATGTTGGTAGACAGGACTGCTGGGCACCTGCTCATCTGCAAAGCCAGGGGCAGCGCCAGACTGCGGACCCACACGGCCAGTGGCATCCTTGAAAGTGGACCAAGAGGATCAAGTAAAGATCAACAAGTGGGATATTCATAAGAACCAACTTAATGTTATAAGTTATAAATGGATCGGGGCCGATGGCCCGTGTAGCTATCTTTTTGAGCGGATTCTGCTTTGCCAACATATTGAGATCTCCTGTCTCAACAATTATCTTGACTTGAGACATCTTCGGACCTGTCACTTGAGACCGGAACTTGATACCAAGGTGCCTGCAGGTCTCTGCCTGGCATGCTACTGGTGACACGGGAATATGGCACACAAAAAGAAACCAAAGCTATTCAAGAGATGCGTGCCTCCTGCTAGCTTGCGTGCACTGGGCACACACATGTGAGACACTCAAGGAGTTGCAAGGTCCCAATCGTGGAGTGATGAACTGCCTTGCAATCTGATGCTTGATTCTTGCCTTGCAATCTGCCATTGTGCAGGAAGGCATGGAACTTCACCTCCTGGCCCACCTTGAAGTCCCCGATGTTCCTCATGGCTCCGGGTCCAAGTTGCAGCAAATTCGAGTTTCGGTCCCCGCCCACGCGCGCCTGGTATTGAGGTACACATCGCCCTCATGCTGGTTCTTTAAGGCATCGCAAGCTATGAAACCAAAGCCTGCAAACGGCTTTGAGGGATGGGACTGCGGCTCCGAACATGTTGGCCATGATTGGGGAACTTTGAGAAGCATAATCCGCCCACCTTTCTCTGGATTGTAGCTCTTGATGATGCCATAGAACTCTCCTAACCCTTCTTCACTCGGCTTGCCACCTTTGCCATGTGGTGGCCCCGGCATCCCCATTGGAGACCCCATCCTTAGCAACTTCGACACATCCAACTTCCACACATTTTTTGAAGCAATTCGGAGCTCAACCCATCAAGAAAGACATGGCAAGACTCATTCCCATGTCAGGGCCTCCCATGCCATCACAGCCACAGCCACCACATCCACAACCTCCGCATCCACAGCCGCAGCCGCCGCAGCCTCCACATCCACAGCCGCAGCCTCCGCAGCCTCCGCAGCCACAGCCGCCACAGCCACTACAGCCGCAACCACAGCCACCACATCCGCAACCTCCGCAGTTGGCACAGCAGTCACCACAGTTGCTGCCGCAGCCGCCACAGTTGCTGCCGCAGCCGCCGCAATTGCCGCAGCCCCCGCAGTTCCCGCAGCCACCGCAGTTGCCGCATCCACCACAAGGCCCGCCACACCCACAACCACAAGGCCCGCAGCCCCCGCCACAACTGCCACAACTCCCACAGCCGCCACAGCCACAGCAGCCTCCCATCCCTCCACAACCCCCCATACATGGTTCTCCCATGCTGGGCATCCCACACCCACCACAGCCTCCCATGCTTGACGCCATTCCATTCATGCCAGTCTTGTTGTCCACAAGGTCAAAGGCCTGGGGTTTGTTCTCTTCGTTCAAGGTCACGGCGAAATTGACCTCCTGACCTGAGTCACATCTGGATCATCTTGCACCTCCACAGATCATGTATTGAATAGTCTTCGTCTCTCCTCAATGCCAAGCTCGGAGCCTTCTAGAAAACCAGCGACTTGCTGTGGCTTGACCTGCACATCGCAGCCAAAGACCTGCCAGTCGCTGTTCGTTCAACGAGGAACTCGTCGATTCGGCTCGCGCTCGAGTTCGTCGATTCAGCCGGGTCACGGCGCTTAGTTCAGGGCAGTTGATGAAACTGACTCCCAGCGCCTGGGAGTCCACGAGAGGTGAACGCAAGAGAAAGAGGACAAGGAGAAGCCTTCTCTGAAGGTCTAAGAAGAGCACGGGACTCAATTTCTTGACAGTTCCCATACACCGCTTCTCTGTCAAGCCCTTGCTAGGTGCGAAGGTCAAATCTGGAACGCATACCTCAGAAGTTTCATGACAAAGAAACTACTCCAGCCAGTCAAGCTGAAACTTGACAGGGTGCACAAAGCCAAACAAAGACGGATCAAGCCAAGGAGCATTCACTAGCCCTGGAGCCAGCTCCGGCTTGCTCTGCACTAATTGTGTCAGGACTGTTGCCAGAATGCTGTCCTAGGCTCAAACGAGCAAGGGAAGCCGGAACAAATGCGAGAATTCCACCAACATCCACAAGAGAATGACTATCATTCAATGGAGACGATGGTGTGCTCTGTGATGCTTCAGTGCCAGTGTCACCAACAAGACTTGTGTGACACGTGCTCAAACGCCCAATTGATTCTATCACGTAAAGTGGGGGGATCTTTTCTAGTGATTAGAAACAATAAGCTGCTAGTAACAAGTGCATCGCTGCTAGGAGCAAGTGCCTTACTAGTAGTAACAAGAAGCTATTAGAAACATTGGGTCCTTTGGAACTGTCAATTCTGAGCCTTCCCTTGTAAACGAAGACTTCAGCAGACCTCCTTCGGAGCTCGCTTTCGTTGCAAGTCCTCTCATCATCTAATTATATAATCATGCAGATCAAGGCCAAGACACATCAAGGTTACTTAGCGTTGTCAAGATGACCTGCGGGTCCATTGCTTTCCCTCGCGCCTCTGGGCGCAGCCTTTTGGCCAAAAATGGCTGCAAGGAGCACAGCAAAGCACACGAGCATCTCTTATGTAATTAGCTCCAGGCACGGCAATGCATGATTGAAATTCTACGGTGGGGTCCCGGGGAACAAGCATGGCTGAGCGGCATCCATTCTGGCATCACCACAGGATGCAGGGGTCCATGGCTGCGCCGGTGTTCACCTGAAGGATTCCGTTTCAGGCTTGCACAATTCAAGAATGGAAGTGAGACACAGTGACATAGAGTCAGAAAGGGGTATGGTGGAAAATGAGGTAAGCTTGCAGTGCAAGCTGAAATCTTCATGGGACCAGGATGGATCTGGGCAGTATGAACAATTCAAGATCTGAGTTGGCTACACTGACAGCCTGGCGCCACCATCCAAACAGTCTTCTGCTTGGCCTCAGCTGACCATTGAAGCTTCTGGTCAAACACGAGCTTTCACATCTGCCTCTCCGGATCTTCCAACGAGTTCCTGCGCTGCAAGCTTCACTCTTTTCCACAGCAAATTAACTGGCTCTTCTGTTCTACTGATTGCCTCTTGGTGACAGAAGCTCTAAATTACTCAATCTCAGTGTCGTGTCCTTCCACGGTGCGCGGTCCTGAGCCAAAATGAGCATGATGAGCCAAAAAGACCACCAAATGAAACAGCGCGGCACAAACACACAAAGCTATGAATGTTCACGTGTGGCAGGACAAGAAGGCAAGGCAACCGAGGAACCAAGAAAATCTGGAAGTCCTCCTCCAGCACGGCTGGATTGGACCTCCAAGTAGAATTACATAGAACAGTGGCACAGTCTAGGGCCGCAGCTGGCTAAGACATGCTAAAACCGTTGAGCCTTTGAATCGACATCCAGCTACACAGGTGCTCATCAGCGACAACCTGGCCACACCAAGACGCTCCTGACAAGTTGTATGCTTTCCCTGAAGGCCTCTTCCCAGCCATGGGTGTCATCCAGCAATCGGGGCACTCCAGGAGCCTCCCGCCAAATGACAAGAACTCCCACAAGTGCAAAGCCTTCACAAATGGAAGATTCACATATGTTCCTCATGTTTGCGCATGTTTGCTCCATATGGATTATCGATTTGCCTGGTCACTCATGTTTTCGCACATGGGCAGCGGCTTGGCGTCCACCGTGCCCTCCTGAAGATCTACTATGTACAACCTGCACCGGGCCTCGCTCCACCGAGCAATCTGATCTCCAAGTGGTTGACGCAAAGCATATGTCCCAAGAATGCGTGTGAAGCCAGCGCATGTGGCACATGGATGCAAGAGCTCTCTGGAACGTCTGCTTTCGGTCATTGAGGCTCTTCAATCAAATCCCGGATATCCACGCCACAATGTAGGATGAAGCCTCCCTTGTCAATGGTTTTCTCACCTTCGTGGTGGACCACTTGCTGATCCCAGAATTCGGACTGTGCACGGTTGATCTTCAACATGACCTTGGCAGGCATGGTGGGAGAAACGAAACGTCACCTTGCCTCAACTCATGAAACAAGGCCTGCACTTTTGAGGTCACTCACATCATATCATTACTTACTCTCAAAACTCTCTACAAACCAATAAAGCAGCTCTCCATTCCCAATCATTCCTATATAGAGCTGAATGAAGGTGCCCAGCAAAGGTCCAAGTCTCGGTATTCATGACAGCCTGCAGTTCTTTCTGCTTGGCCTCGAATTCTGGCTTTCCGGCCTGTGCGAAGCAAACAGGCAAAGGGCACAACTCCAACTTCGTATGTTCTATTTTTATGCATTTGTTTTTTGCAATGGACAACTCCAACTCTTCCTTTTTTCGCATCTCACCCAGTTTCGTTTCACAAAGGACAGTTGTGAGCGTGTGATTTCTGCTCACAATTGTCTTGAGTTGTTCTCCTGGTGCAGAAATCGCCGCTGACAACATGCCTCTACCCTCTGCGGAAACCAAAACAAACGATGATTTGGGGACTACTTGGTTGATGAGACTCGTATGGAAAACATTGTTTCTTTTTTGGGGTGTAATTATGACCCATCCATACTAGTCAAGAGTGATCCAGGATCCATAATAGTCCCGGCTAGTCTGAGTGATATCCGGCCACATTCATCTGTACATTGTTGGTTGTTCCAAACTATGTAACATAATCCTTGCATCCTAGAGTGAGATATACATCATACTTCATATCATGTTAAGACAATTATGAGAATTGATCTGCGCATATTATGTCACAAACATGTGATCTATCCCATAGTCAGGGGTGTTCTGAATCGAATCAGGAATCGGACCGGACCGCCTCCGAAGCGCCCCCGAAACGGATCGCTCGAAGCAAACCGTGAAGCGGAGTGGTATTGAATCGAAGGAATCGATAACCAAGGAATCGAGCCGCTCACGAAGCGGTGCTCCCACAAGGTTAGGGTATCCACTGACTGGGTGTGTGTGTGTGTGCCCTGCCAAGCCGGCAGCTCCCGGCGCGATGACAGTGTGACAGTGTGACGATATGACAGCCGAATGGTAGCAGCTCACAGCAATGCTGTCCGTGGGATCTGACAGTGAGACAAGTGCAGGCAATGCAGCAAAACTGTTTTGCGTCAAGCTGCTGCTGGATTGGGGGGTTGTAGGGCAGAGCTCAAGGTTTGATGGGCCAGTGGCCAGCGGGATTCGAACTCACGACCTTCGGACAGGCCTTTTGCGTGGGCGCCCCAGATTTCAATCAAAAAGAAATGTTTTTTTTGTTACTAGTAGCGATGCCCTTGTTACTAGTAGCTTCTAGCTACTAGTAGTAATGCCCTTGTTACTATATAATAGCGATGCACCTGTTGGGGCTTTTGCGCGTGCGAGTCCAGTGATGGGAACCGAATCGAAACGAACCGGACCACGAACTGACACGCTCCGAACCCAAACCTATTCCTGGCAATCCAATTCTATAAACAAGGAACCGAACCGTCTATCTGACGATCGAGCCGAACCCACCCTGCATAGTGCGAGTGAAGACCAAGATGTGATCTATCTGAGCTTCTCACGGTGTGGGATCCTGTCAAATCCTCTGCAAGGATTCACCGGTCAAATAGTGAGAACTGAACAAAAAGCTACTAAGCTACTAGTAACAGGTGTGCTTTATGAACATCTTGTGACATACATCTCTCTCACATCATGAGACCTGGTAGCCTGGTAGCCTGGGATACTGAGTTCATATGTCCACCCTTGGTGATGCACAGTTGGTGATGTGACAATATGAGATACTATGAGATACACGCTGCTAATCTCATGACCTGAGAACTGAGTTGTGCATCTCAGACTTTGACATACATCTATATAACCTTTCTATAGATCCTAACAATAAAATCATATGTCCCACCAAGAAATGCATTTTGACTTTATGGCACGGTATGATATTCAGAGATTGGTGCTCATGATCTGATATGAACTTCTCTCGCACATGGTTGAATTGCATATCTATATCACCGTATGAGCTGCACATTGTCAACTCTCACGCCCTGGGATTAGCATGCATCTCATATTGTCACATCTCAAAGCATTCGAAATCATTTGTGCAGCGACATCACTGTGACAAACATGCGCAATTCAACACAATGGTACATGGTTCCTATTTCAAAATTTGACATGACAATGTCCTAATCTCAGAGTATGAGAGTTGATCTGTGCATCCCCCACTGTGACATACATGTGAACTGTATCATAGTGTGAGATACGTTGTTGACAGTTCAATTCCTGAAATGCAGGGTTATTGATGTGACAGTATATATGAGATACTATGAGATATATGCTGCTAAACTCATAACATGAGAACTGGTCTGTGCATCCTATTCTTTGACATACATCTGAGCTTCTTACAGTGTGAGATCAGTTATTCATTTGTTAACCATGTTAACCCACGAAATGCAAAGGTGCACCTCTCAGATCATGAGATTGATTTGTGCATGTCACATTGCGGCACACATATGACACTTCTCATAATGTGAGGTATGTTATTCATAGTTCAAGGCATGAAGTTCAAAAGTGTCTCAGGGCTTGGGAAACCATGTATGCCGTATGCACCTCACAAGATGAAGTTACCTTAAGATGACATTTTCTCAAGACAACAGCATGTTGAAGTAACATCATCTTAACAATGGGTTACTATAGTTACTAGAATCAATCATGATTAAATCTTGTAAAATCACATGCTCACAACAGTCCCTTCTCTTTCTTTTCGCTTCTTGACAAATTATGGAAGCTCATGTTCTGTCAGGTCTGCCTTGAGGCCATCATGCTCTAGCCAGTGGTACGCATCTGCCAGCTTTTTTTCAAGACGTTCTCGATCTTGCTCCTGCAACTTGCTCGCATCAAGGTCCTCCCAGCAGCAAGGAATGTATATAATTCAATGTTGGCCTGCTATTGACTGCTATTTGGCCTTATTTGCCAACGTCAGCGTCGAACACTTCACAAAGTATGTCGGTCAAGTCACGATAGATCCGGCTCTACTTGTGATCAAGTCGTTTCACCTTGCCGGTCCCACTCAGGAGTGGTACTGGTCATCTCCGACTCCCACGGTCCGAGGCGAAGCTCTTGGTGAGTCTAGATTTGGGATGTGCCCCAACGGTGTGTTGGTTGCATCGGGTCACAACATGTCACAACAGGTCGCAAACCCTGACAGCTGAGGTCTGTCCATTGTCCATGTGTCAAAATCAAAGCCCCCGAACAGCCAGCTTGGTAAACATGGTGGTTCGCCTGGGTGACAGAACTACCATGCCATGCAAAAGGCTCCTGGATGCCTTTATCAAACCGCTGGAAGTAAACTTTGAGCTCTTCTTTGGCCAGCATGTCGCCTTTGCTAATCTCATCTTCACCTTTGTACTTTTCTGCCTCCTGCAGCATCTTTTGAATATCATTTTGCGTTAAGCGGCCCTTCTCGTTGGCAATCTGGATCTCGCTCTTCTTATTGGACTTCGCATCTTCTGCGCTCACCTGCAGAATCCCGTTGGTGTCTATGGTGAAGGTGACTTGGATTTTGGGGACGCCGCGTAAAGACTTGGGGATGTCCTTCAAGGTAAACTTGCCCAAGAAGTTGTTGTCTTTGACCATGGCCCGTTCCCCTTCGTAGACTGAAATGTCCACATGGTCTTGATAGTCCTCAAAGGTCGTGAAATCTTGGCTCTTGCTGGTTGACACTGTGGAATTTCGCTCAATCAGGACTTGCATCATGCCGCCTGCCGTCTCAATGCCCAAGGAGAGTGGAGCAACATCCTGGAAAATCCACCAAAGGACGTGCAAAGACGCGCGGGGGCGTTTTATCTCGAGGGGTATATTATGTCAAACATGCCGAGAGACAAATGGAGCAAACGAGAAGAAATCTGTCACATCCCACCCCCACAAGTACTTGTGTGTTGTTTCTTTCCACAGGTACCTAAAAACCACTGGTCAGCCAAGCAACTAGCAGCAGCATGTTCTGAACTTCTTCACTGCCATGTCCTGACACAATGGCCGCCTGGACAGCGGCTCCATATGCTACAGCTTCGTCTGGATTGATGGACTTGCACAGCTCCTTTCCATGGAAGAAAGCCTTAATAAGCTCCTGCACCTTGGGAATTCTAGTTGAGCCGCCGACCATCACAATATCAGAAATGGCCTTCTGCGGCAAGTTGCTGTCTTTCAGGCACTGCTCCACTGGCTCCATGGCCTTCTTGAAATAATCGAGGCAAAGCTCTTCAAACTTTGCCCTGGAGAGGCGAATGCTAAAGTCGTTTCCTTCATGTAGCGAATCCACTTCAATTGTCACAGATGTTTGTGTGGACAGCAACCTCTTAGCACGCTCACACTGCGTTCGCAAGCGCCGCACGGCACGCTGGTTGCGAGTGGGGTCCGACTGGTACTTCCTACGAAAATCTGCAATGCAATGACTCAAAATTCGATTGTCAAAGTCTTCACCACCAAGATGAGGGTCACCTCCAGGTGTTCGGAGGTTGCCCGAAGGGTTGGATTCGGGTTTCGATTAGGGAAGTGTTCCCTCTTAAAATTGCAAAACCCCCCAAAGAAGAACGCGGAAAGAAACAAAACCTCACCACCCCATATCATCGCATCACCTCACCTGCAGTTGCTTTCACCTCAAAAACGGACTCTTGGATTGCAAGCACTGAGACATCAAAAGTCCCGCCACCCATGTCAAAGACCAAAATGTGGGTCTCTTTCTGGGCACTGGTCGACTTGTCAAGTCCATAGGCAATGGCTGCAGCAGTCGGTTCGTTTACGATTCGCAGCACACGAAGACCTGCAATCTCACCAGCATCTTTGGTGGCTTGTCGCTGCGCATCATTAAAATAGGCCGGCACGGTGATCACTGCTTCCCGGACCCGGTGACCCAAATAGGCCTCTGCCGTCTGCTTCATCTTTGTCAAAATCATCGAGGAGATCTCCTCGGGGTGAAACTTCTTCGCCACTCCCTGGTAAAAGATTTCAATCAATGGCTTGTCATCCTTTGTGCCATCAGAGACGACCTTAAAAGGCCAAAGTTTTAAGTCTGCCTGCACAATCGGGTCATCAAATCGTCGCCCAATCAGCCTCTTGGCATCAAAGACTGTGTTGGTCGGATTGCTTGCAACCTGGTTCTTCGCCGCATCTCCCAGCAACCTCTCCTGCTCCGTCCAAGCTACGTATGACGGAGTTGTTCTGTTCCCTTGATCATTCGCAATGATCTGAACTTCACCATCTTTGTAAACTCCAACGCATGAGTAGGTTGTCCCAAGGTCAATACCAACCGCGTAGCTCTTTTCTTCGGAGGCAGGCTGCATGGCAGCTCCCTCAGTGTTTCTGCCACATAATTGGGCAGCCCTTGTTGAGCCAAGTAAGCATGATTGGCACGTTCACTCTTGGTACCTCCTTGCTTTCCATTCCCCTGAATGTCTTACAGACCTTTACAGACAAGGAAATATTTCAAATCATATAATATATATGTACAGTATATTATACATTTTATATTTATATTGTTTAGGTGTGTGACATGAGAATATGCTGAAGCACCTCAGCCTCCTTCTCTGCAGAGAGCTCTGCGCGTCCTGACTTGCAACTTGTTGCATGGGGCAACTCTTCACCAGTGGTGCCAAGTGATTCAATCATATAAAGCCGCATAAAGCTGAGTGCAGCACGTGCACGTGCTAAGACTTCCCTTTCTTCCGCCCCAATTGATGAGTGCTCTTCAAAGGGGGCCTTCACATTTGCTGCTTTGACCGCACGGTTCGATGGCCCACATTTTGTATACCCCTGTTTATCTCGTGTTATTTCAGTCGAAGCAAGCGAAGACTGTAGCCTTTTTCTGCACCTGACCTGTTTTTCCCAAGTCACCAGCTCCCTGCTAAGTAGCTGCTGCACCAAATGTGTCTCTTCCCTCCAAGGAGCCTTCTTCTTTTTCTGCCTTCCGGTGGTCGCTGAGGAAGGCTTTGGATGATTGAGGGCATTGATCGCTCAACAGGCATGTGTTCATGAACATCGTTCGCAAGCGGCCCAGGCCCGCCTTTGCTTTTGCTTCTTTTGACCCCAGTGGGCTTCCTCCACAAAGTGATCGTTCTTGGATGTTCTTTGTGTGTCCAAACCATGAAGAACTTTGGGCTCCCAAACTATCCGAACTGCTAGATTATCTTTCAGGTCCTGCTGTGCTTTCCTTAGATCACCTGCCAATGGCGCTTGGCAGATCACAGCTGCACAGGGCAGAACAAATTCCGAAACAAAATGCCTGGATGCCAATGATCGGCATCCTGTGGGCCATTCTTGGATATTCTTGGTGGGAGCACCAACAGCATTGCAGAGCTGACAGGCGCCTCATGCTGGTGTTCGGCGCCACGACTGTAGACCTCGAGACATAAACAAGCTCGACCCACCAAGGCTTTCGCACTTTTCACATCGAATTTACATCCAAACACCACTTCTTTTCCTCGAAGATTCTGCAGGCACCATCTGACACTGGAACCGATTGGACATACGCTGCCATCAGCGTGAATGGGCCATCATGACCATGGCCACATCCAAACACTTGGCACTCAGCGCTTTGTCATCATGTAGAAGACCGAGGTGCATACCT